TGGGAAAGAGGCGTGAGAAAAGGACTGACACGGACTGATTTTAAAGCCACCTGGACAATATCTGAAGGGCAGTGAGAATTGAGTAGGACTTTTGCGAGCCGTTCGGTAGGAAACGAATTTTCAGATGATCTCATCCTCTTTCGCGTGAATTCCTTTTTAATGCTAGAGAAACTAATAAGAGCTTTAATTATATTTGACACTTTTTAAGCGCTGAAGCGCATTTCGAACGAGCTTCCGCTCCAATATGTGATGTGCGTTTTTTCTATGATTTTTGGATGTTGGTCGGGTCAGGAATCGCACCCTGGCCAAGGCAAAATCTTTCACAAAAGTTTACCATGATTGTCGCATACCGATTAGGTTGATATCGTGGGCAACAACAACCGCGCCGTAAACTCAGCATTCCCCAGACTGGCTAAGGAAACGAAGCTGGGTGTGGGAATAAATGAAGGCTACACAAAATATCTTCTTTCATCAGACAAACAGTCAGCGTACTCCTATCGTGGTTCCCAACTCATTGCTGACGGTTATAACTTTAAAGTTATAGACAATTTAGACTGTCTAGCAACCAGCATTAACAAAATGTGTTAGCCTTGAAATTCAGCGTAGAATCACTAGTGGCAAACAGGTATAACTTTGGACTGAGTAAATAATTAAAAACTGAAGGGCTCTCTCGGCGGATAGAGACCAGGCTCTTCAAGTTGTTCATCATTCTCAGGCTGCTATATGACGAAGACGCTTGCTGTTTTATGGCTTTGTGAATACCATTGCAGATGGAACTCTGAGCTGTACGAGATATACAGTTACATAGACATACTATCAAGAGATAGCGACTACGGTGGATAAGTCATATCCGAATGGATGAAAGTACTTCAGCTTTGAAAGTTTTCACTGGTTGAAGCAGATGAAGGGGATGACCTTCATTTCGTTGGAAGAACCAAGTGGGTGGTAGTGACCTGGCTTTACTTCGTGTTTCCAATTGTCACCGAAAGGTGGAGAGATGAGACGACTGACGTGTCGCTGTTGAACGGCTGCCTACGCCAATCAAAAAGTGGAAATTCGTACTATTCAAGGCAAATCAAAAAATATCAAAGTTCTCATATAAACATAAATTATTAAATTTTACATAAGTAACTAAATAATATATGGTTAATAAAAATTTATATATTTATATATTTTTATATATTTTTTCAAATTAATTCATTCAAAGAAATGCACAAAGTTTTTCCCTTTAAAATCGAATTTATAAACAAAATAATTATGAAGAAATAATAAAGCCAATTGTTTGCTTTCGACATACACAAAGAGCAAAAGAAAATAAAATAATTTGTATTTAGTGGAAACACTTACCAAATCCGGTATATAATAGCACAAATAAATTTGATGGGATCTTATGATCTTCATGCAACTTTCCATTGATCATAAATTTGATGAAAATTTACGTCTGTACAAATTTACAAAGGAAAGCTGCAGAAAATCCCCATCTAACATACATACAAACATACGAAAAAAAAGATGTAAAGACGCAATCCGTCAATCAACGCCAAACTAAGCTAAGTAAAATATCGAGAGATCATATATAATAATATATATGTATGTATATAATATATTAAACGATATATCTGAATATGTGTATAACTGCTTTACCAACCAATCGTTCGCTGTAGAATGCCAATGTATTGATGTAAGCTCCACCTATCGAGCGCAAAATCAATACTTTACGATTGGCGCTGATCGTTTCACAATGGAGCACGCGACGCGCTCTCCGCCAGCCAACTGTTGTATGCGTTGTGGGTGTGCGAAGAGTTGTTGGAGCATTTCTTTTATATTTTGTTACTACCTCTCTTTGTCTTCCTACTGCTATGTGGCTTTATGCACAGGCATACACATGAAGGCACTTTTGGCGCTGCATAAAACCAGGAGAGCATAAAAAACGTAGATTATAGCAAAATGTGGAGAATAAAATGAATTTAAATAAAGGCAGATCAACGAATGAAAGTCTCTGGGCATTTTTTTGTAACAAAAAAATTCGATACTTGCATATATATTTTACATTGAGACATTTGATTGGGTACAGTGGTGCGGGTTTAATTTTTATATAGGAAATAAATATTAAATATTTGCGCTAATGGGTAGTGATTAATCAAAGGAATTATTGATGCTTTGAAAACCTTAATCAGGGGCTTGCACTGTGTTTTTCACTACTTTTTCGAGTATTTCGGGCGGTATACGAATGATTTCGGCTGTTCGGAATGTCTGCTTTGAGCTTGTCAATTGACAGCGCAGTTTATATTTTGGTTTTCAAACAGTCCTACAAAATAGAAGTAAGAAGGAGACAAATCTAAGATCTGCAGGTTGACAATTAATCTCTCTTTCTCCTCAGACTGCGCAGGGAATTTTCGTTGTATGTAGAAACTGATTAATTTCATTTACTGTGTGACATGACGATCCATCTTAACGAAGCCAAATGCTGTGGAAATCTTTTTCAAACCATTCAAAGGCAGATTTATAAGCCATGATCTGCCAGTATAAAATTGCATTGAGACGTTTCATTTTGTTTGGAAAAATATGTTCCAATAATGATGCAGACGCAAACGCACGCCCAAACAGTCATGATGTTTGATGGATCTCGAATGAATTGTCTCTTCTCCAAAAAAGCGAATTTAGTTAATTATCGCCGCAAGTTTGTATGCCAAAAATGAGACTCAGTGTCCCCTATACGAGTGACTGCGTGAACGTATTCTTTAAGGTGTTGACCTGATGTCGCCTGATCCAAAGTGCTGAGCACGCTGATGAGACGGCTATGGTGTGATCTGAGCCACACAATAAGATAGCTTTAGTCAATTCATTCAAGATTTAGAAAAATATTTGCTGAAAAGACAGAAAAAAGTTGCTCTTAATTTCTCGCTTAATAATAACGTGTCCACATACGACGTTTGGTTCCAGAGCCGGAGGCGTGCTTTGGGCTGTAGAAAATACGTTTTTGGGAAATCTCGCGATACCAAGGATTTCTTAAGATGAAGATATGTTGCGCATCAAATGGAGGGACCTACAGCTTACAGCCGGCTCTGAACGATCGTTGGAGTTTTGTGTGGAGTTTTTATACTTATCAGAAATACACGTGGGTTTGACAGTGCATTAAGGGGTTATACGAAGAAATGTCAAGAGTTCAGAGTACACAATAGAGGCAGCGCAGACCCATCACACGATCCAATTTAATCATTTTGAAATTACAATATGTAAAGATCCTTAATTTTTATATATAGATTTGGTGAGTTCTAAAGGGTTTTCCTGATTTGTAGAAAGACTCGTATGTTTTTCGTTGAATATAACGTGTGGTTTTCAATGAGGTTTTGTTATTTTTCTCGGTGTTGGTCTTTTTAACAGCTGTTACTTGATTTACATTGAGATTGTTTTGTAGCGGAATAACCATCAAACAGGTCGCACAGTCGGTGAATGGGTGCAAAACGAGTTGGCCACCGTTCGCGATTTTCACAAGAAAATTTTGGTCAGCGTTGAAACTCAGTTTTGTTTACATGGATACATTAGTAGACGGCTTTCGGCTTTCGGCTTTTAGAGCGATGACAATTCATAAGACATTGTTGAGACCCCGTTACATTCCCCAAGATTCACTGTTTGATTTGTTCTATGGGCAGAGAGAATCATTGGACCATATTTCATCAAAAATATAGTCATGGGGAACGCTATAGAGCAATGATCAATGACTTTTTCCGGCCTGAATTGGTACATGTGGATGTAGACGACTTGTGGCTACAACAAGACGGCGCTATATGCCATCAAGAGAACGAAAAAAATCAATATATTATAGGAAAGTTATGGTGAGCGCATTATCTTATAAGGCGGCCTCCAATAGCGAGTTCTTAAAAGCACCTTAAATACCTGTCGGAACGCCTCGAGGGTGTTTCTAAGGTCAATTAGGCCCGAGTCGAAACTTTTTGCTAACACGCCTAATTAACTACCTACCTATGTACTATTCAATGTGAATATATATATGAGGTGTAAGTAATGCGACTGATTCCATAAAAACCGTATATTTCGAAATTATTCTACAACTCTGCCATCCCCTTCAAAGTGGTTCCCTATAAACGATTTCAGCGCGCATACCTCGTAACATGCTACGCCTGAGAAGTCCGCGATTACCCTCGTCACGGCCGCCTGGATGTTCTCAATCGACTCAAAATGGGTTCCTTTGACCACCAATTTTGTACTAGGGAACAAAAAATCATCGGGTGATATATCGGGTGAATAAGGCGTTGTTGCAACACGGCGATCCCTTTAGAGGCCAAATACTGGGGTACGCTGAAGGCGATGTGGCACGGCGCGTTGTCGTGATGAAGGATGCAGTTACGAGCGATGTCTGGGCGCGCCCTGTCGACTCGTTTTCGCAATCTTTGGAGTAACTGGCGATAGTAGACTTGATTTACGGTTTGTGCCGGTGGAAGAAATTCTTTATGGACGATTCCACGGCTGTCAAAAAAGACAATAATCATCGCTTTCATCTTCGAATTGCTCCTGCGAGCTTTTTTCGGGCGGTCGGCGTGCGAAGACAGCCATTGTGAGTTATGGCGTTTGGTTTCCGGGTCGTGTTGTCGCGACGTGAAATATATGTTTCTATAATTTTTTCTATAAATCATGAGCTTTTTTATAGTCAATCACTTACCTAACACTTAACGGTTATTAATAGTACAGCCAGAAATATATGCGATTTTCATAGCAGCAAAAGCTCTTTGATCTTGTCTATATTTCTGGTAGAAAAAAAAACCACATTTATCAACTTAGCCAACGAATTAATTTATTACTCTGATACACGCGTGCTTTTCGCTCACACAAATCACATTAATGCTCCACTGTGCGCACAATGCTAATCGATCGATTTGTTTATATGATTTTACGCTCAATTGATTTGTTCTGGCGCGCTGTGCGCGATCGCTTACGGATGCTGGAAGCAGTTTAGTGCAGCGTGACGAGTCTTACCAATCGGTGCGAACGCTAAATCCGTGAATATTTAAATGAGCCAAGAAGCGGTTTGCCGACGCTGCTAACAGAAAGTTGAAAAAGGAAAAAAATTAAAAAAAAAAAAAATTGTTTGCCAAATTTCTTTGAGCTTGCGTGGGCGGAGAATGCTTTTGGTTTAATACTCGAAAAAATGGGTGTTCTGGAAATAGATCAGCGTCTAAATGCAATTATGGAATCAGCACCAACAAATCTAACAGTTGAAAAAAGCGTCGCCGGTGTGGCGCCAAAACGTTCGGAGAGCATTGAAGAAATGCAAGTGGAGTTTACGAAAACACTCGAGCTCGACCAGCATAGTAGTAGTGAAAATAGTCCGAATGCGCCTAAATTGCCCATGCAAGTTGGTGAAACGAAAATTCAACTCAGTTTTAGTGTTGATCGCTTATTGAATACCGAAGAAACGCATTCTGGAGAGATTAGTGCTAATCAAGAGCTCAACGATGTTTGTGAGAATTTAAAGAATTGCAAAGGTGCTAGTGATGTGGAGTGTTTTAAAAATGCGAATATGACCACCTACGCTGGTGGCTCGTGCATGGATCCCAACTGTTCGGCCCTGTTGGGCAGTGCTAATGAAATGCAGAATGAAATTGTTTCAGTGAATTTAAAAAAATATGCCATATCCACACTCAACAACGAAATGCAAGAGAAATTTTATCGCCAGAGGCCGCCGCCATTAATGCCTCCATATTTAGATTTCAAAGCCATTGTACGGCCGACGCCGATTCGCGCGATCAGCAGTGGGCGTGAGACTGGTAAGTGGTTAGGGGTGATCATAAATGTTAACTTAATAAATTTTATATGAAATTTTGAAAAAAAAATAATGTGATTTTCATGTTTTCGAAATTGATATTGAAGCTTCCACATAGAATTCAGCAGAGGCGGTAAATCGATAAATCAAAATTAAATTATTCAAAAACATCCTGTCATAAAGAAAACCTGATAAAAAAGTACTTTTTTAACCCTGCCCGTAGGATGTTTTAAAAATGATTTCATGCATACGATCGTTGTGAATGGCTCGAATAAACTCAAGCCGGAAATAAAATTTTCGACCACTTTTTGCAGCAATTTGGAACGTAGATCAGCCTTGAATACTCTCCACCGGGGCGTAAATCTTCTCGAGCTAACCTCCGCAGACAAGCGACTTCACATAACCACGCAAAAGATAGTCCAGCGGTGTTAAATCGCACGAACTTGGAGGCCACGTCACAAGCCCGCGACGCGATCTGATGCGCTCACCAAAAGTTTCTTTCAATAAATTGATTGTTTCATTGAGTGCATGGCATGTTGCGCCGTTCAATTGAAATCAGGTCCTTTTGTTTGGAACCGAACTTCGTTCACATCAACGTCCTACAATTCAGGCATGACAAAGTCATTATTCACTGCTCAATAACGTTCCACACTGACTGTTACACTTAGAAATATGGACCAGTGACTACCGCTGCCCATAGAGTATCTAAAATCAACTTTTTGAGGAACTAACGGGGTCTCCACAAAGCATTATCATCACTGCAAATGAAATTTTTTTGTTAATTAACACAACCATTCAACCAAAATTGGGCTTAATACGCTGAACGTGCGACGCGCTTGATGGTCGTTCGGCTTCACCCATTGAAATTGAGAACTAAACTGAGTACAGATCTAGTAACAGCTGTCAAAAAGACCAACATCGGAAAGAGTAATGTCTCATTGAAAACGATATGAAGGCGGAGCGTTGAAGACTCATCGGATGTCAGCCTGCCTTGATAAACAGTTTGATGTGGTTTTTGTAAGATCCGAAAGTTGGGTTTCAAGAAACGTAAATTCGATTTTAGAAAACCAAAAAAGGCTTGAGTAAAACAATCCCATATTACTAGTATCTCTAGTGTATGAGTAATTTAAATGGCTTGGCTTGAAATTTTTTACTTTTAATTGGTTTACGGCCTTCAATCCTTAGGTTGGAGTGGCTATCGATGTGGGTACATCAATGTGTTGTAGTTGGATCAGAGTAATACCACGATGTGTACCCTATCACTAAACATCTCTATTCGTTCATTTCGATTCCTTCATAAATTACATTAAATAACTTGATTTGACGACTGTTACCTTAGATAAGTCCTCGAGGAAAGCAGCCTCTAGATATCGGAACCTAGCAGTTTCTTACAAGATAAAATATCGCCAGTAAAGAAGAAAAAGACGTTGAGTGTGAAGTATACAGGATACTTGCATTACCCTACCTTCCGTCCAATCGATGAAGGGTCACGCCTGAAGAATAAACGTAAGATCCAACAGATCGGTGACTGAAAACTTGGAACATTTAATAGTGATAAGTGATAATGAGATTATTTATTAGTTTAAAACTTTCAGGAAATACATATTTCTTGATACAGAAGAGCGAGTCGGAAGAATTAATGTTGGGAAAATGAATATTAAAACCGTTACACAAGCATCTAAAGGGTAGGTCGTATAGTTCATAGTTTCTTTTGCATAAACACTTTAAAGAAAGATATCTCATGTGTCAAGTTGTTCTTAAAAGGATGCTCGAATTCAAGTAATTAAGTAAACGGCGGGGAACCGAGCTTGCGTAGTGCCATTCGGAAAGCCAGGGTTCGAGTCTTGGCTCGACCAACATGCAAAATTAAAGAAGATGCATTTTTGTAATGATCGTCATCTCTCGCCAGGGAGTGTCAGCCCCTCCGAGTGTATTTCTGACATGAAATGAAGAGATCTTCATAAAAATCCAGCAGCCTTCCGGAGCCGGCTTCGGTTAAAATGTAGACGCAAACCTCGGTCGAAAAATGCTTTAGCGGTTCAGCCAATTAAAATTATTATCTGCGGGAAATGTCGTAGAAATTTTGATATAAATATATATATTGGATGAGTGCATAAGTTCGTGCCCGATTTCAAGTGCAAACTAAAATTGAAATTTTTTGAAGAAAGCGCTTTTATTAATCAATTATGTATTCGCCATCATGTTCGGCAATCCACACTGACGTCTTCCACATGCTTAAATCTTTTTTTCATTCAAATTGATCTGCAGCGATCGAAACAAATGATAATCAGAAGGTGCAATGTCGGGTGAATATGGGGGATGCGGTATGATTTCCTAATTCATCTCCTTCAGTTTGGCCAGGGTCGGTTTTGCAACATGTGGCCTGGCGTTGTCATGATGGAAAAGAACTCCTTTCTATATCTTTAGTTATAATTGGCGCTATGCAACCGCTTAAGTGATTTTCGGTCGAGCTCCTCCTCCAATTTGTGGCTTTGCGTCTTGATGTTTTTCCAAAAAATTAAGGGAAATTATGATGCAATATAAAAATCGATTTTTTAAGCTGTAAAACCCATGTAACACCTCTTAAGGACTCATAGTCCTTGCTGGAGAAACTCGAAATAAAACACAAAGGGTTACTCGTGAAAGTAACGAACTTTTTTCCAAGCTTTAAACGTTTCACATAGCAATACTGTCAGGAAAAAAAATAAAAAAAATCGATATATCGATAATAAAAATGTTTTATTGCATCACTACTTCACCAAACTCGTACGAGCCAGATTGATTTAAATTATTTTGTTAATTATTTTTGCGGTCAATATTTACTATTAAATTTTTGCTATTTGTTTTTTTTTTAAGTGCGCCAAAGGTCAGGTTTGTTTGCATGAATTGTATATACGGTGTGTCCCAAAAATAACCGACTTTGGATATAAAATAAAATACACATTATATTATCTTTGAAAGTTATTATTTATTCAAAATAGGTTCCATTTGACTCAACACAACGTTTGGAACGATCAAGCAGCGCATGCATAGATTTTTTTATGTCATTTATAGAAATGCTCTTCAGTACCTCGGTTACGGCTGCTTGCATGGCTGGGATATCATCATAAAATGCTTCTTTCATCTTGGTTTTCAGTTTTGGAAATAAAAAATAGTCACATGGTCGATGAGAGAAATCCCTTTTTTCATTAAAAATTCATTAAAAATTCGAGCGATTTTTTGGTCTTCATTTAATTCATGTGGAACAAATCGCGCACAGAGCTTTCTTTTCACCAAATCTTCAGTTAAAATTCGCCAAATAGTGTTTTTACTCGTATTCAATACCTCAGCCAACATTCTCGTAGTAAAATTTGCTTCCATACCAATGATTTAACGGACTTTTTCCAACAGTTCAGCACGATTACAAGCTTCTGGACGTCCTGCTCTAGGGTCGTCATTTAAATCCTCACGACCATTTTTAAATCGTGTAAACCACGTATAAATCTGCGTACGACTCCTACAAACATCACAATAAACTTTTTTCATTAATTTTTTTTTCAAGTTTGACACAAAATTTTATATTTGCTCTTTGTTTCATTTCATTTTTGAACCATTAGTATACTTTTGGTTTTATTGAAATGGCTGTCACTTTTACATCTGTCATCCGACTTACATGATGTTAGGTGCGTTTGAAAGAGGGTGAATGTATCTTTTTAATGTTGCAAATTTTCAATAGATGGCGCTGTATGTTGTATGATTTAAATATAAAGCTCGGTTACACGGACACACCGTGTACTTTTGTTAAGCAACAAAGCAAAAGGGGAGGAGTGACAGCTGTTTCGGAGATCATCACCTCATATTCTCCTCAACAGACTTCTAGTGCGAGGATCGAACCAAAGGATCAGAAATTAACAGGCGAGTGCTCTATCACTCTGCCGACATCAGCCATTCAATCAATTGTTGTATTATTCAATTAATTATTAACAAACACATATTAAGTGCGCTAATTTAATTTGTTCTACGTGACTTTTCTGTGCAACAAAGAAATGAAAATGAAATTTTTATATAAAAAATATACATAAATACACGTGTATATTAGAGTGACACTTCAAGCTTCACTTTAAGCTGCTGGCGTCACAGCGTAAGTAATGACACTCTGTGGACACACGGTGTTACTACGCAGATGACCACAATCGTAGCTTAAATCATTACATCCTTGCTATATGTACAGCGTGCTTATGCCTCAACTATTCAAACATACAGACATATATACATATACATACATATATATGTGTTTTTGTATGCAGTTCTTTAACAATTTGTGAAATATCACTGTCAACACGATTTACATACATCCCTTGTATATCTGAGTAAACATAGAACTACTGACAATAGGAAAGCTTTGATCACACTTCATTACCAGCGTGTCTTGAAAACACAAACATAGTAATTGCGCTGAAAATCTTCAATCAAACTAAAGCAATAATTAGTTGGAAATCGCCAATGGAATTTTGTAATGATTTTTTTTTTGCTTTTTTGTTTGTTTGTTTGTAATTTTTGCTACAATAAACGCTCGCTTGTTGAATTATTTCACTTGTTTGCTTTATCCATTGGTTAATCTGTGGCCATATTGTACATACATAGATACATACGCCTGATGAACCCATCATCCGGTAGTAAACAGTTGGCAAATGTTTTCGACACAAACAATGCCATAATTCTAGAATTCTAGAATTCTTATAGTAGCTTTACAAAAAAAAAAAAAAAAAAAAAAAAAACAACAACAACAAAAAATGTGACTTCCTTTCTTTCATAATTCCTGTGTCCATTTGCTCAGCACAGGCTAAGCGTAGGGGATTCAGTGGCTGGATTTGTTTATGTGAACGTTGAACATACGAAAGAAATATTAAACACATACCATACATACATATACAATACATGTAGTATATATACATACGTACGTCGGGTATAAGTATCACTATTGGGCTGAGTACTTAACGGTTGAGAAAAATAAATTTCACCTCC